GCTCAAGCGAGTCTCCTGCCTCAGCCTCCCAAGTAGCTGGGACTACAGGCGCCCGCCACAACGCCTGGCCATTTTTTTGGTTGCAGCTGTCATTGTTGTTTGGCGGCCCGGGCTGGGGATTCAAACCCGCCACCTTAGGTGTATGTGGCTGGCGCCTTAGCCGCTTGAGCCACAGACGCCGAGCCTCACCGTACTTTCTTAATCATTGTGTTATGACATTTATACTCTACACTTAGTAGATTTGATATGTACCCTTGTAAAATGCACCATGCTGCCCTATAGATATATTTTTTTTCTTGAGACAGAGCCTCAAGCTGTTGCCTTAGGTAGAGTGCCATCGCATCACGGCTCATAGCAACCTCTAACTCCTGGGCTCAGGCAATTCTCCTGCCTCCGCCTCTCAAGTAGCTGGGACTACAGGCGCCTGCCACAATGCCCGGCTATTTTTTGGTTGCAGCAGTGATTGTTGTTTGGTGGGCCTGGACTGAATTCAAACCCGCCAGCTCAGGTGTATGTGGCTGGTGCCTTAGCCTCTTGAGCCACAGGCGCCGAGCCTGCCCTATGGTATTTTAAAATACGATTCTTTTATTTATTTATTTATTTAGAGACAGAGTCTCACTTTGTTGCCCTTGGTAGAGTGCTGTAGCGTCACAGCTCACAGCAACCTCCAGCTCTTGGGCTTAGGCGATTCTCCTGCCTCAGCCTCCAGAGTAGCTGGGACTACAGGCGCTTGCCACAATGCCTGGCTATTTTTTGTTGCAGTTTGGCTGGGGCTGGGGCTGGGTTCAAACCCACCACCCTCAGTATATGGGGCCAGTGCCCTACTCACTAACCACAGGTGCCCCATATTTTTAACGGTAAATGTTTCACCTATACCAAAGCCTTGTGGCAGACTTAGTTGTATACAGACGTTGGAGATTTGACTGCTGTTTAAAGAGCAGACAAAATTGAACACTACAATAAGTTAAAAGTAATTAGTAGATGCCATTTTCTCAGGAATATTCTATAAATATGATTCATCAAACTTTTCTTTGAAAAACCTATTTACTGGCTCAGCGCCTGTGGCTCAGGCAGCTAGGGCGCCAGCCACATACACCTAGGGTGGCGGGTTCGAATCCAGCCGGACCCGCCGAACAACAATGATGGCTGGGCGTTGTGGCGGGTGCCTCTGGTCCCAGCTGCTTGGGAGGCAGAGGCAGGAGACTCGCTTGAGTCCAGGAGTTGGAGGTTGCTGTGAGCAGTGAGGCCATAGCATTCTACCCAGGGGGACAGCTTGAGGCTCTGTCTCAAAAAAAAAAAAAAAAAAAGAAAAGAAAAACCTATTTACTTATGTATGTACATGTAACTGAAACGACAGATGAATATTGTTTTTAAAAACAAATGTCAGTTCTGAGTTCACATAAAGGGGGATATTACAGGATAGAAATATTATTTTGAGGCAAATTCATATATATTAGAGACAATTTTACATTTGGATGATCAATGTGGTAAATATAAATAAAATGGAACACATTTGTATTTGGTTTGGGAGAAAAGCAACACTTTAGGGCTTGGAATGGTGGATATGATAAGAAGTCCATAGGATCAGAATAAAAATGATACTTCTAGTGTAGTTCTGGAAATCAACTGTCTGTTTTATAAAATGACACTCTGATATGTGAAACACCTTCATTATTGACAATTACAGAAGCCGTTCCTGTAGCAGCATTTTCAGTCTGATATGTGAATTCTAAAAGAAAAGGGAAAATTATAATTATGTACATACAGCCTAGCAAAGATAATTTATTTTAACAATTTCCTATAACACTAATCCTTGAAAAAACTTTTTAACCTTTAACCATCTGGGATGATAAAAAAAAAAAGTAATTAGTGCTAATTTATACCCATCACCTATACAATGAGGAAAACAGACAGCTTTACATTTAGTTGCACCTTTTCTCTACATTAGTAACAACCCACCAAACCATTCCTACTTCCAATTCTCTCTAATTATTCATAATTGTATAATATGCATTTTTCCAGACCAACACCTTTATTTTCTTCACTGAAAGAAATGACAGAGTTGAGGTAAATACAAAGGTTAAACCTATAAAATGAACTTTTTTGATTTTCTTCATTATCATAAGCTTGGCATTTCATCAAGATTCACAGTCTGGCGTGTAAACAGAAATGTTGATCAGGCAGCCTCTGATAGCAGCAAAGAGCCCGGAACTCAGAAGACCTGCATTCTAGTCCTGGCTCTAGCTCTTACCAACTGTGTGCTCTTAGAAAAAAAAAAAATAATAACAGAACATTTCTGGCCTTTGGGTTTTCTATTCTGTGAAATTATGGTATCAGCCTTGATGGTTTCCATGATCATTCTAGCTATAACATTCAGAAACTTTTCTTAAAGTATCTTTTGTGAATGAGGCACCTGTTTTTCCTTGTCACTTGTTACATAAGATGAAGCTTTGGAATCTCCTATTATTTTACTTCCATCTGGAGGAATGTACATAAAAGAATCAACCAAAAGACATTAAGCAAGAGGAGATCAAGCTGTGCACAAAACTTCTCTGGCCACCACGAGAAGATCTAATAATTCTGATCTATATTTAATTATTCTTGGCTTGGGACAAGATCACAGAAGAACCACTAACTTTAAAAAAGATAAAATTTTACCTGTAGAAATACCATTCTGTTTTAAGTTTTCTATATAGTCATTGCCAAAAGAATCTTTGCCAACCTGTACCAAAGAAATGATGAACATTAGATCTTTTACATTTAGTAAAATGCTACTGTGTAGTTTTTTAGAATACTTAGCATTTTAAAAGGGCATATCTGCACAGTACTTTACAAACATTAACTAATCTTAATATAAGATGCTAGACTTGATTGCAGCCCAAAGAATTGTTATATATTCTTTCATTATATCCTGCCCAAAATGTGAAGCATTTAAGGACTGTTCGAAGTTCTATAGCTTTACTCTCACTTTGATCTATTCCTTGATAATTCCACCAAGACAGAGCTGTCTACCATCCTTAACTCCCAATACTTATAAAGAATCTCAGCTGTTTGTAGTTCACTATAAATGGGGGCATCTTTGTAATGGCCTGCCTGATACTACCTGGAATCTGCGAGCTATGATGACACAGCACTCTACCAAGGGTGACAAAGTGAGACTGTATCTCCAAAAAAAAAAAAAGAGCTTGTTTCATTACCCTGGTCTCGTCATAGTGATGCGTTTAGGAATGGGAATGTGACTTAAATCAGTCCAATAAGATTCAATACTGGAAATTTTATTGAAACTATTGGGGAAGACAAGTTTTCTTCCCAATGAGATTGATGGCTCTAAGATAATATAAGCCAAGAGCTATTGGGGGTTACCATGTGGAGAGAGCCAGAATGAAAATAGAGTACCATAACAGAAAGCAAGAGGATGGTAGATGCAGACAGACTTCTAAGAGCCTAATGTATACCTACACTGTCTGTGGCCAGCTCCACCAGTGGGCTTTTCAGTTACACGAGCCAACACGTCCCTCCTTTTGGTTTTGCTCTGTGTGTGTGTGTGTGTGTGTGTGTGTGTGTGTAGGGGTTCTTTTTGCTTAAGCTATTTGGAATTGTCCATTATCTGCTACTGAAAAAGTCAAAAGTCAAAAGTCAAAAACTAACCTAGAGATATAGATCTCTGTAAAGAAAACAAAAGCTAGTGAGCCTACTCTGACCCTGAACCGTAATTAAGCAGTTGTGCTTGTGCCAGGATCCTGAGATCAAGTTCCTGCTTTGTGGTCCACTTGGGTCAGCAGATCTCTCTCTCTTTCTGTTAGAATGAGGGTGTATCTTAAACATCTAGTTCTCTAGCTCTTTCAGAACAGGACTCTTCTCTGTCTGGCCAGCCATCTGTAGGCCTTTGGGTCTGTGAGTCAAAGCCAGAAGACTATTATCACAAGGCCTTTGACAGTAACTGCTGGCACAATCACCTCCATCTCCTCCTGCCCGTTCCCGGCCTTCCTGGTGTTGTGATCATTGTGTGAGTCAGGACACCCCTGGTATCTTCTGCCATACCTCTCTGATGTTAACCATTTGTCTGACTGCCACTTTGATTGAACCCGAGATCATCAATTGGTGGGCTGAGTCAAACCTGACCCCTGGATGTGTTTCACATATCCTATTTTTTTTTCTAAAAAATATACTTTAGTTTTAAAAGCAGATTGAGGTTCTCAGCATCAGTGAGAAGAAAATACAGAGAGTTCCCATACATCCCTGTCCCTCCCCATCGAGAACCCCTCACTATCAACATCTTGCATCAGAACAGTACATTCGTTACCGTCAATGAAGCTGCACTGACGTATCATTATCATTCTAACTCTGTAGTTTACATTAGGGTTCACTCTTGGTGCTGTATATTCTATGGGCTTTGACAAGTGTCTGACATGTCTCCACCATTATAATATCACACACTGTGCTCTGCCTTTTTATCTGCCTTTTGCAGAATATCATACAGTTGGAATCATATGCAGCTTTTTCAGATTGGCTTCTTTCACTTAGTAAAATGCACCTAAGCTTCCTTCCTGTGTTTCTGTACCTTGATAGCTTATTTGTTTTTAGTGCTGAATAATATTCCACCATCTGGATATACCACAGTTTACTTATCCATTCACCTACTGAAGGATACCTTGGTTGCTTCCAAGCTTTGGCAATCAGGAATAAAGCTGTTATAAACATGAAGGTTTTTGTGTACATGTCCCACAATTTTTATGCTTAATTTTAATTAGCTCTCAATATTTAAATATTAGGAGATGTGACAAAAACAAGCAGATTTCCAGGAGGTCCTGAAAATTCAGAAGTTGCGATAACACTGGGTCCACTGCCAGGCAACCCAGCTGGAACTGAGAAGTGAGTGCCTCAGAGTAGGCTCAGGCTTTCTAGTTTATCACAGCTCTCACCTGGCCCTTCAACTTCCCTCCTGCTTGGCTCCTGTAGGCCCTGAGGCTTGTTACCTCTGAACTACACTTCTATTTTTCTGGTCTGTAGGTCAGCACTACTTCACTGCCTCTATCCACGTTTCACTCATTCCTGGTGTGTTCAATTCTTCCACAAAACACTGTTACTTTCTGGATGTATCAATACAAAGGAACCTAAAGATTTAATTAGGTCAAGATCCTCAATGAACAAAGATAAAATTGCCTAGTAGCTTTTGGACTATCTAGCCCAGGGGTTGAAAAACATTTTTGTATAAAGGGCCAGATATTTAAATATTCTAGGCTTTGCAGGCCACATGATATCTTTTGCAACTATTCATCTCTGCCCTTGTAGTGCAAAAGTAGCCAAAGATAATCTGTAATTGAATGTGTGTGGCTGTGTTCCAATGAAATTTTATTAACAAAAATAGGCTGTAGGTAGGTTTTCCTTAAGGCCCTGATTTAAATGCTGTATTTCATGGCTGCTTCCTCAAAGAATACTTTTCCATTTGTTCCTTTTCTGGCTAAAGTGCTGATTAGGCAGTGATCTTGAACAACATGTAATAATTGTTAATAGCAGAATTTCTATCTCTACAATGAAGAGCGTCCAACATAAAGCACTGTTTGTTGTAGGACAGTTTCCTGTTGGGAGGAGCTCATTTATCGAAGGTTTCCCTCATGGAAGGTTGGCCTTTTATCTGCCAGATAAGTGCCAATATCTTAGGTTGATGATTCGTACAGAAACAAATTCTTTTGTCTCTCATCTTCTTTTATGTTACTTAACTCTCTCCCATGGACAGTCAAGGTGTTAAATAACTGGGAAAGTATTGTAGAGATTAAGACAAGACCATCACTAGATCTATGAGTCATGATACAAATTAGAGGATAGGAACTTCTCTTCCTTGCTTAAAAGATTTATGCAGGAAAATCTGTTACAAGGTTAACATCAAGGGCAGCTTTGATAAATAGAGCTGATACTATAAACATTAAGAAGTGCGGGGAAGAAGAATTGTTGCTAGGGAGAACGAAACCTAAACCATGCAGCTTTGCCTTCAAGAAACTAGTATCATGGCGGAGGCGAGTATTAAGACATAGAGAGACAACTGTAATATCAGGTGGAGTATCGCGTGCATCAAAAGCATAATTAGGAAGAGATTTCAGGCTTGGAGCAGTTGTATTTTAGAACCTGCACTAGCTGCCTTTTCTTTTTCCTGCTCATGGAATTACCTGATTTGCTACATCCTCTTGTGACGGTCATAGTTCCAGATTTGTTCCACTAGGGAGTTCCTGACAAATCTGTTGGCGCTTTTCTAAACTACGTGAGAGGTGGAACAAAATACCTTGCGTTTCCATTCTTTTATATTCTCTTGTTAAAAATAAAAATCAGGTGTTAAAAATAAAAATCAGGTACTAAAAAAAAAAAATGGAAAAGTAATCACAATTGCTGAGGATTATAAGAAGTCACTTCGTCAGCTCCATGAATTTTGTATCTAGGTCATGATGACAGTAAGAGAAATAATAAAAAGCCCAAGATTAGGAAGATAATATTTTCAATTGTGTTATGGAAGTCAGAAGCCTCTGCCCACAAGCTTTGTGATTTTGGACAAGCTGCTTTAACTCTCCATAGTTCTGTTTCCTTGTCTGGAAAGTCATAGCAAGTTTGCTGTAAGGATAAAATAGAATCATATACACAAAAGCATATTTAAAACTGTAGGAATTAAGGCTTCCATGCTCTCACCCATCCTCCTCCTCCTCATGGCAATGACACAGTGACTCTGGCTGTCTCTCCTTTGCAATGACAGGGCAGGGCTATTGTTGCTTGGATTCAATCAAACAAACTACTTTCTCACCCATCTGGTTTTAGTTTCTCCTGTTGCTCCTTATCTCCAAACGAGACAGCACTTGATCATGATAGAAGCGTGTGGGTAGATTATTTTGGAGATTGTATCACTGACAGTATTCTAATAAAAACCTCAAATTTCCATTAATGGTTTGGTGTAATTAATACTGTTCAACATAATTGTTTACCCAATTTCTTTTGTGAGACTAAATTGCCAGCTCGGCGCCTGTGGCTCAAGTAGCTAAGGCACCAGACACATACACCTAAGGTGGCGGGTTCGAATCCAGCTCCAGCCTGCCAAACAACAATGACAGCTGCAACCAAAAAATAGCCGGGCGTTGTGGCGGGCACCTGTGGTCCCAGCTACTTGGGAGGCTGAGGCAAGAGACTCGCTTGAGCCCAGGAGTTGGAGGTTGCTATGAGCTGTGATGCCACAACACTCTACCCAGGGGGACAGCTTGAAGCTCTGTCAAAAAAAAAGAGACTAAATTGCCAACTGGGAGCTTATCTGTGTATTGGGTTTGGGAAATCAATGACTATCAACCTAGGCTGCACAGTAGCATCTCCCAGGGAGTTTACATGTATAAAAATCTGGATTCACTGGTTATACCCCAGACCAGTTAAATCAAACTCTCTGCAGGTGGGACGCAGCAGGCTCCTCAGGTGATCACCTTTGGCCCAGATCAAGGAGCACTGAATTATGGGAGTAAGAATTGGGAAAGGATCTGTAAAGGCTGTATGTTTGGAAGAAATGAAGATGGGGGAGCACACTGATGGTTGGTGCTATGTTGGTAAGTCAGGAATGTGTCCCTCAGAGTCTGCTGAGGGTGACGGGCCCATAAGCTTCCAACACTGGAACCAACACATCGTGAAGCTGGAAGCATTTCCTTGGCTTGTGTTTGCTGAACCCATTCTAAGTCTGAAGTGGCCCAGGCTTGCTTCCTTTGCTTCTCTCTTTCTAAAACTCACATTTGGCAAAAATAATTAGATTTCTGTTTTTTTTTTTTTTTTAAGAGTTTAGGCCAGGCTGGGCTTGAACCCACCAACCTCCAGTATTTGGGGCTGGTGCCCTACTCCTTGAGCCACAGGTGCCGCCCCAGATTTCTTTGTTTTTCAAAGTGGTTGGTAGAAAGGCTCTGTTTACCTGATCTTACCACCTGACTGTGTGTGAGTACAACATGTTCGTGTCTATTTCCTTGCCTTTGGTTTGAGAACTTAGAAGTCCTGAACCCTCTCTACCTAACTAAACCTCAGGTGTTTTTCAAGCATCAACTTAAGGTCTATCTGCCTTCTTCTGATCCTTGTTCATCTTCTCATCTCCAGAATTCCTACAGCATGGATATCTAAATCAG